TTAATCTGAGGCCATTTTGTTTCTCCAAAAAGAATGATTTAGCTTTCTGCCTTCTGGGTGTTGGGGCTGGGGTGGTGTGCTTGTTTTGCCTAGCTTCTGGAAGCAGGTCGGGGAAGGGAGCTGAGTCCGCACACTTAATCAGTGTTCAACCCATTCCTCTATCAGCCCTGGGCTAACACGCATGCCCCTCGCTGTGGTTGGTGACTCTGGAGCCTCTAAAATTTAGTTCTCTGTAAAACCCTAGTCTCCTGTTAATAGAGGGACAGTCAATTAGCTCTAAGGAGTTGAGGAAACCTGGGAGTTGTTTAACCCCGTATCCAGACCTTGAACTGGCCCCCCTCTTCTTACCTCAGCACCTTACCTTTTGTGGTACCTTTATGTTCAAGCACTAAGTGTTTCCAGATTTTGGTGGAACAAATCTGCTTGCTTCCTGTCTATGGTTCTCTGCTACAGTCACTCAAGTGGTTTCCTTCTGTTTTGATAAACCGGTTCCCACTTCTCCATCTGTTTTCTGAAAAACTACTGGAAGCTTTCATTCATGGCCTCTACTCCTATTTTCTGTTCTTGCAGGTTTATATCTTTCTAGATTTTTATTCATTTACTATAATTTTTCTGGAACTTCTAGCATGAGAAGTAGTAAATGGATATCAGTTGGCCACAGTTCATCTTATCTACTCTGTGTCTTTCAGAAATTTCTCAAATTTTCTCATCTGATATTGGCAGCATTATATTTTGGCACTTGTTTACATTTTTTTTTCATTTTTATTTATTTATTTATTTATTTTGAGACGGAATTTCACTCTTGTTGCCTAGGCTGGAGTGCAATGGCACGATCTCAACTCACCGCAACCTCCACCTCCCGGGTTCAAGTGGTTCTCCTGCCTCAGCCTCCTGAGTAGCTAGGATTACAGGCATGTGCCACCACACCCAGTTAATTTTGTATTTTTAGTAGAGATGGGGTTTCTCCATGTTGGTCAGGCTGGTCTCGAACTCCTGACCTCAGGTGATCCACCCACCTCGGCCTCCTAAAGTGCTGGGATTACAGACATGAGCCACTGTGCCTGGTCTTTTTTTATTTATTTATTTTATTTCTTCTAAGCTTCTAGTTAAAATTTGGGAGGGAGGGAGGTAGACTTGTTTGGCCATGATGAACTATTTTGAAATAATAGTTTACTTTAAAGATTTAGATCCATGTAAGTATCTGTTACCTGTTTGCTATAAAATTCTTCAATAGGCAAACTTGTGGTAAACTGAAAATAACTTTGACCTCCTCAGCCTAAATTATTTTCCACAAATATTTGTAGGTCATGAAGAAGGATATTTCACAGCTATAATGTTGAAGAAATCAAGAGTGAAATTAAAAAGCCAAGAGATTATTCCTTTTCCAAGTACTAAAATGATGAGAAACCTTTTATGTGTGCATGTGAGTAATTTTTTAAAATTGAGTGTCTTATAAAAAAAGAATACATTTTTTCCATAGTTTTGTGTTGTTATTCTTTTTAATACCATTGCCTTTTGAGAAAAATTTGCTTCACACATGTAGATTCTTTTAGATAGTCTTTAACACTTTCTAAAATTAAGTTTTTACATAAATTTTAAATGCAGATAGAATTCTCAGTCTATTGTTTTCTTAAAAATATTTGAGAGTTTGCTAACATTCCACATTTGCTTCCTAAAGTAATGTTTTTACTCTATACATGCTACTATATTGTACTCTATGAGACTTACAAAAATGAAGAATAGATCTTGCTGTGATACAGTATATAGATTAGTAAGGGAGAGTGTATATATATAGTAACTAAAACATAAGAAAGGCATAAGTGCCACAGGAGAGGTGTAAATGTGTGGAAGTTTAGAGAAAGGAGATGATTTTTAACCAGATTGTTTAGTGAGAGTTTTATAGAGGAGATGGTATTTGAAATGAACCCAGAAAAATATGTAAGACATAGACATTAAAAAGAGTCCAAGTAGAGAAACCACCATGAGCAAACTTTTCAAGTTGCAAGAGGTGTACATGTGTGAGTATGAATGAGCGTTCTATTCAGTTGATTGTAGGGGCCATGGAGAGGGAAATGTGACAGGTTGAGAAGTATGTAGACTCCTGATTATAGAAGAGCATGAGTGACCAATATGAAAGAATTAGACTTGATTCTGCAAGCACTTCATATAATGATAGATTGTACATTGCTGGTGTCTTAATTGCAAATGGTAAATGATTCTCATTCATTCAGTTAATTGACTTTTTTGGAATACCTGTATGCCAGGCCCTTAAAAATACAGCAATAAATAAGAATCATCTGTGCTTTGCAAATGACTTACGGCTTTGTAGGAGGGAAATAATTGTCCTTTTAATTTAGCCTAGGGGGCTTTAAAACAGTCTGTTCAACATGCTTTAGGTGTATTGAGGAGGGAGCCACTGATGGCCTGGGGACACTGGGGAAAGGTTCACAGTGGAGGTGACATCTGGGGGTAGGTCGTGCTTGCTAAACAGTCTTCTTTGGGGACAGGGTTAGTGCTTTAATACTTCTTTTGATCTGGAGGGATAGACGCAGTGCTGATTATACAGTTTCAGTTTAGTAGATATATACCATTTGACAGAACAATCTGCTGATTTTGTTATTAAAGTTCAGTATTAATAGTCAGTGGACAATTTTAATGACTTTTTGTCCTGTTGCAGGTGAATGTGTCAGGAAATGAGCTTTGCCTTATGACATCTCATTTGGAGAGCACCAGAGGGCATGCTGCGGAACGAATGAATCAGTTAAAAATGGTTTTAAAGAAAATGCAAGAGGCTCCAGAGTCAGCTACAGTTATATTTGCAGGAGATACAAATCTAAGGGATCAAGAGGTGAGTGACAAAGTCAGTGTGATGTTTGAGGACAGGTTATTGCTATGGAGACTAATTTAGGTTCCTTTGACCAAAGCTGTTAAAACTAGGACCTGTAGTCACTCAAAATGTCTTAAGTGACCTTGCAATTCAGCAAGTATTTGTTTAGCTTATGCTGTATGCCTAGGAGAAGAAGGGGCTTCTTTTGGAGGAAATAAAAATGTGCATGAGAAATAGACAACACTAAACTATATATATGGGATTAGAAAGAAAGGTAGAGAAAATGATTTTAGAAGAGTTTAGAAAAGGTTGTTTCTTTGCAGTATTCCTAGTTGCAATATGAGAACAATGGAAAGATTTGACCATGATAGTTGTTCCTAACTCTCTTTTTTCCTAGGTTTCCTTTTCTTTTTTCTTTTTTGTCTTTTATTAGCCTTTTTTACCCACTTTTCCTGCTACCACCATGCCCAGATCTCCAGGTCTGAAACAAAGTCTGTTTCTTCTTGCCTATAGCTTAGCTGAGACACAGTGGGATTTTTCAGGACCTTAAAAATTTAAACATAGAATTACTATGTGATGCATCAATTACACTTCTAGGTATAAATACCCAAAAGAAGTGAAAGCAGGGATTTGAATATGTTTTGTCTACCCATGGATGTTCACAGCCGTGTTATTCACAGTAGCTAAAAGGTAGAAGCAGCCCAAGTATCACTGACAGATGAATAAACAAAATGTACTGTATGCATACAGTGGAATATTATTACCCTTAAGATGAAGAAACTTTGACACATGCTACAATATGGGTGAATCTTAAAGACATTATGCTGAGTGAATGAAGCCAGTCCAAAAAGGAAAAGATACTATATGATTCCTCTTATGAATTTCCTAAACTGGTCAAATTCATAGAGATCGAAAGTAGAATGGTGTTTGCCAGGGACTGGGGGTATTAGGGAATGGTGAATTGGTGTTTAATGGGTACAGAGTTTCAGTTGGGGAAGATTAAAAGGTTCTGGAGATGGTTGATGGTCATGGTTTGCACAACTGTGTGAATGTACTTAATGCTACATCACTGTACACTTAAAAATTGTTAAAATGGCTGGGCACAGTGGCTCACGCCTATAATCCCAGCACTTCGGGAGGCCGAGGTGGGCTGATACTTGAGGCCAGGAGTTCGAGACCCTCCTGACCAACACGGTGAAACCCTATCTCTACTAACAATACAGAAATTAGCCGGGCATTGTGGCACATGCCTGTGATCCCAGCTGTGCAGGAGGCTGAGGCACTAGAATTGCTTGAACCTGGGAGGTGGAAGTTGCAGTGAACCGAGATTGCACCACTGCACTCCTTCCTGGGTAACAGAGTGAGACTCCATCTCAAAAAAAAAAAAACAAAAACTTTTGTTAAAATGATAAATCTTATATTGTGTATATTTTACCACAAACAGTTTTTTTTTAATCCTGGCGTGTGAATGAGCAAACAATTAATATTATTAATAAACTTCAAATAAAACTGAAGGCAGTTGAAATGTTTGGATCATATAAATGCTATACTTCTAAAGTTGTAGACTGAAGTAGAGTGGCAGTTCTGCCTTCTTTTCACTTGAGTTCAGTTTTTAAAAACATATAACAGCAGTAACAGGCCGTGTATGTTCAGCCTTCTAAATTTTATCTGAAACCCAAAGTTAACCTATTTATGGCAGAAGAGAAGGGGCAAATTCCAACCCCTCTGGCTGTCTTGATATTTTTATATTACATACTACTATGCAGCATAATACTTTTTATAATGTATCTCGATATTTTGCATTTGTGCATTAATAATTTCTTGCACGGTAATAGCAAAAACGCCTTTTTTTTTTTTTTTTTAGGTGGGAAAAGGCTATGTGTATCTTAGAGAGTATTCTTTTTCTTTTCAGGTTACCAAATGTGGTGGTTTACCCAACAACATTGTGGATGTCTGGGAGTTTTTGGGCAAACCTAAACATTGCCAGTATACATGGGATACACAAATGAACTCTAATCTTGGAATAACTGCTGCTTGTAAGCTTCGTTTTGATCGAATATTTTTCAGAGCAGCAGCAGAAGAGGGACACATTATTCCCCGAAGTTTGGACCTTCTTGGATTGGAAAAACTCGACTGTGGTAGATTTCCTAGTGATCACTGGGGTCTTCTGTGCAATTTAGATATAATATTGTAAAATGCTTTTCAAATGTGAGTTTTGTCCTGATTTTTGCAAATACAGTTTCCACCTTCTGGAAAGGTAGGTTTGATGTGGAGAAAATAATGTACTAGATCATTGTCACAGAAAAACCAACTATGATTTGTGGTTGTGTTTTCAGAATTCAACATTAAAGATTAATGTTTATTTAAATGAACACATTCCTGTGTTCAGGATGTGAGGCTGTTTAATAAAAAGGGCACAAAGCCTGTTAGAGTTTTTAATGGTGCTTATAGCTGCCAGCTGGATTCCAAACAGGAATCACATTGTCTCTGAGCTAATGTTTATGTTTTTCCATTCAGGCACTGAAATAGTTAATATTTAAAATAAGTCTTCAAAAGAAAACGTAAGAGATTATTGAGTTATTGGGACTGGATCCTTTATTTCATAAGTTCAGATCATCTTAAATGAAAATGCCATGATTATCTGCAGTTAAATAGATGACAGCTATTCTACATCAGACTTGATTTTTGTCAGCTAACTACATAATTGGTAAGCTATAATTGAAACCTTATGGCTTAAAATTCCTTAACTCCGTTTTGATTCATGCTTGTAGTCATGTTGTCAACAGAGGCGAAGTTAGGCTCGATGATGGTTAAAATCAGTTTGATAGCACCATGGGACGTTTTTCTAACAAAAATAAATGCATAAAGAGACATAGCCTTTTAGTTTTGCTAATTGTAAAATGGAAATGTTTTACAGGAAGTAAATGCAAATTACTTGTAAGTGTGCTTTAAAGAAAAATATTTTCCCCACAAGAGAAATTTAAATAAAGAATTTTATTTGTTTATAGTTTGTTTTAGTATGCTTTTGTGTCCATGATGAGATTAAATTTTTTATCTGCTTCCTGCTTCTGGCTCTGCTGCTGCTTCTTCCTCTTTTTGTAGAAGAAAACAGATTTCCATTTGCTTCTCACTCCACCAAGAATTACCAGGAATATATCTGCTTCCTTTGTGTGAAAAAAGAAAGCCAATGAGAATGATTAGAAGTAACAGAACCTTATTTATATCAGGAGTGCCAAAACTTAAACACCTAAAAAAAGACATTTATATATAATACTCCCTTTGTAGTGACAATGAAAGAGTTTAAATGTTAATCATAATTTTAATCATTAAAAATAAAAAATGAGAATAGATGTTAATAGTTGAGTAGCATACATCATAGAGGTAAGACAATAGTACATTTCTGTGGGAAAAGGGTTATTCTGGCATAAATTGCTTTTATTTAGAAGAGCTTCAGATCATGTTGCAAAACATAGATGGGTGAAAGTCTACATTCTTAAAACAGAGAGTGTAATATATTAGATTAAATAAAGGATTATCGTCTGGGTGCGGTGGCTCATGCCTGGAATCCCAGCACTTTGGGAGGCTGAGGCAGGTGGATCACCTGAGTCAGGAGTTCAAGACTAGTCTAACCAACATGGTGAAACTCCGTCTCTACTAAAAATACAAAAATTAGCCTGGCGTGGTGGCAGGCACCTATAATCCCAGCTACTCAGGAGGCTGAAGCAGGAGAATCGCTTGAACCTGGGAGGCGGATATTGCAGTGAGCCGTGATTGTGCTATTACACTCCAGCCTGGGCGAGAAGAGTGAAACTCTGTCTCAAAAATAAATAAATAAATAATTGTCAAATTGTTTTAAAACCATGGACGTATCATTTCCTTTATATAACTCACAGCATCTACATGAAATACCTTCTTGTGTACTGCTTATGAGAAAATCTAAAAAATTATAAATGAAGTGTATAGAAACAAACCACTTTTTGGCCCGGTGTGGTGGCTCATGCCTGTAATCCCAGCAGTTTGGGAGGCTGAGGCAGGCAGATCACGAGGTCAGGAGTTCGAGACCAGCCTGACCAACATGGTGAAACCCTGTCTCTACTAAAAATACAAACAAATTAGCCGGGCATGGTGGCACGCGCCTGTAATCCAAGCTACTCACGAGACTAAGGCAGGAGAATCGCTTGACCCCGGGAGGCAGAGGTTGCAGTGAGCCGAGATCATGCCACTGCACTCCAGCCTGGGCAACAGAGCAAGACTCTGTCTCAAAAAAAAAAACAAAAACAAAAACCACTTTTAGTCTGCTTTCATGAGCAATAGTTTTCAAAGTTTTTCCAGTGTAGTAGCTTTGCTTACCTTACCTTCCTGCTTAATTTTGCTTCTGACTTTGTCCTCTCAGCCTGATCATGGATCATTGACAGTACTAACTTTTCCACATCCAAGCTGATTTTCACTCTTTGAGTCCTGGACAGGTTTTTACTCTTTAGTTTTTATTTATTTATTTAGAGACGGAGTCTTGCTCTGTCACCCAGGCTGGAGCGCAGTGGCACGATCTCGACTCACTGCAACCCCCGCCTCCTGGGTTGAAGCGATTCTCCTACTCAGCCTCCCAAGTAGCTGAAACTACAGGCGCGGGTCACCACACCCCGCTAATTTTTTGTATTTTTAGTAGAGACGGGGTTTCACCGTGTTAGCCAGGATGGTCTCCATCTCCTGACCTCGTGATCCGCCCGCCTTGGCCTGCCAAAGTGCTAGGATTACAGGCGTGAGCCACCGCACCCAGCTGGTTTTTACTCTTTAAATGGGCATTATCTTATTTGACTCCCAGAAACATCCTATATGAATGCTATTATCTTCATTTTATAATTGAGGAAACAGATTTATCAAGATTATGTAACTTAAGGCTCTTCGGTAAATACCGAGTAACCAAGAAGCTTATTCATCAAGTGTGTGTGACTCAGCTCTAAGCACTGCACTATACTTCCTAGTAATGAGATGTGCAAGGAATGCCCTGCCTTTTCTGCTCCTGTCATTTTCCCTAGATGCTTTTGCATCTTTATTAGAACAGTAAAAATGCAAGAATCTTCCACACAAGTTTTCTGTGGTTTAGATTATCACGTTCCTCAATACGTAAATGTCAAACTATACTGGGCACCCAGTTAACCTGCAAGGCCTGGAGGTGATGTGAGCCCCTCCCAGCACAGGTTTCCAGTATCAATCAGAAAGCACCTGCTCAAAATAGAAAGATAATTACAGAGTAGGGGCCAAAGAGACTCCCACTGGAAGAGTCGACCTTGTGTAGCTGGGGTGACACAAGCTGGGGACAAGCTGGGGGACACATTCGCGAAGGGTCTTTGACCCAGGCAGTGCGCCCACGGTTCCCTTGAGCCACCCTGGCCCGGGTGTTTATTTGGAAGTAGTGTTCATCCCCCAGACTGTTTAGGGCCACAGTGATAGGGAAGGGCTTGGTGACGGAAAGGAGGTAGGGTATGAAGGCCGCTCAGGTTCCCGAAAGCCTTTTGCTTGGTCCCTGCGTGGGAGTGTCTCGCCGCGGTGCGGGTCCTCAGAGCGCAACCGGGGAGCTGGGCAGGGGCGACTGCCGCGCCCCACATCCCTGAGGGCGTGTGTGCGCGTGCGCGCGCGTCGCCGTGGTAACCGCGGCGGCGGAAAGGCGCTGAATCACTGGCGCGCGCTTTCCCCGAGCCTGCAGAAGCTGCCGCGGGCGGTGGGCGGGGATCCCCCGGGGGTGCAACCTTGCTCCACCTGTGCCGCCCTCGGCGGGCCTAACTGGCCTTGCGCAGAGCCGCGGCCCGGATCGCTGTCACTGCCGGAGGTGAGAGCGCAGCAGTAGCTTCAGCCTGTCTTGGGCTTGGTCCAGATTCGCTCCTCTGGGGCTACGTCCCGGGGAAGAGGAAGCGAGGATTTTGCTGGGGTGGGGCTGTACCTCTTAACAGCAGATGCGCGCGCGAGGGTGTGAACGTGTGGGTGTGTGTGTACGACCTGTGATGACGACGAGGAGGAACAAGTGGGACGGCGAGTGATGCTCAGGGCCAGCAGCACCGAATGGGGCGAGCCTCAGTGTCGCCAGCAGTGACCCCAGGTACAGTAGCTACTTCCCAGCCCGCCTGGCCGGGAAATTGGAAAGAGGGCAGCCAGTAGGCAGGCCAATACCCAATAAAAGTAGAATCGAGACGCCCTGAGTTCAGAAGGTGAGTTTCTTAAGATTCTTCTGGGCATTCAGGAAAGGGCATTTTTTGATTGCTGCGCTGATTGTTTACTAGTAGGGTGGAGTCGGGGAAATTTGAGCGTCTTTTCCCAACCTCAGGAATTGCATTTTTTTAGAAGTAAGGAATCGTTTTCTTTAAACTTCGTTCAGAACTATTTATGTGATCTTTCCTATTATTTGCTAAATGCATTTCGTCTCTGTTCCTTACCATAACCTGAAGCTTAAAACCTTTCTCTTCTTCCCTTTGATTTTCCTCCAAGGAATGTCACAAATTAATGAGGAGGATAAACTTGAAATTTTGAGAGTTATCATCTTAAGGTCATTTGTTAATTAAATACAAGGAGGAAAAATATGATATACATACTCATGTATACTTTTATGGCTGGTTTGTTCATCAGAACATTTTTGTTTGTCGGTTAAATGTTAGTATTTTTTCCAGTGCTTGAATTGAAAAGTTGAATGATGTTTTTGATAGTAACAGAAAAAATAAATTGTAGATAATGTCCCCCCCCCCCCACACACAGTAATTTTGGAAGTAAATGTTGGTATTTATTTCTTTATTCCTGAAATACATGCTCACTTTCCAAACGTTTCAATTTGTTTATTATAAGAAGACCACAATCGTGGAGACTACTAAAGTTATGCCAAATGTAAACTTTTATTTTGTGCTTTTTTTTTAGTATTATTTTTAATTCAGATGAGGAAAACTGGAGATATCAGTTCAGATATAGACGTAGGAGTCACAGAGAAAGGTGAATTCCTCTGTAATTTGAAAAAGGGAAATGAAAACATATTACCTAAGGACTCTCATTTATTTGTATTAACCATTTGTAATGCATTTGCATTTGCATCTGTAATGCAAAATGCCGAGGCAAGAACTTAGTTTCAAAATAATGAAAATAATTCAGCCAAAATCTTTATGAATTAAAAATAGCCAAAAGAGAGCTTTGGTAATGTATTAATATAAAAGAATAGATTTGCTGTTAAATTTTCTTGACTTTTTTTCCCCCCTAGCCAACAGATAGGGAGCATTCTCTTTAAATAAATACAGTAAGTCCTCACTTAACATTCTTGATAAGTTCTTGGAAACTGAACCTTTAAACACAACGAGGTGTAAGGAAACCAGTTTTACCATGGGCTAATTGATACAAACAAGAGTTAAGTTCCTACAGCATATTTCTGGTCATAAAAAAATCACCAAACTTCTAAATAAGGACCACAGCACTTCTAATATTAAACATAGAAATAAACGGAAGCTATACATACAGTTAAGAAGGGTTAGTAAAAACAAGATAATTATTTACCCAATTATTACAGTTCAAGGTCACAGGTAGCTGGAGTCTCTCTGGGCAGTTCAGAGTGGGAACCCCCCTCCCCTGTCCAGGAAGCTATCCCACCACAGGGTGCACTTTCACAGACACACCCACTCACTCAGACGGGGACCCTGTAGACATGTGCACAGCTTTGGGATGTGGAGGAAAGTGAAGCCCAGAGAAAACCCACGCAGACGTGGGGAGAATGAGCAGACTCCACATAGACAGTGGTCCTGGCCAGGAATTTTTTTGTCACCAACGTTGAATGAAACTATGTTATTGAGGCACTGCTATGTGTAGAGCCAGGTATGCCTGTTTCTGGAGCAGAGTGCTGCAGATTGCCAGGTCAGAGGGTGTGGGTTTGGGCGTGGCTCTGCCACTTAGTGTCTGTGTCACATTTGGCAAATTCTCTAAACCCTCTAAACCTCAGTTTCCTCACCTGTAAAACAGATAATAACGGGACCTATTTAATGAAATTCCTGTAAGAATTAAGTACAATAATATATTTGAGAGATCTTTGCTCATTGCCTGGCATGTTTTAATAGTAACGCTTCAATAAAAGTTGTTATTTTTGCGATGTGTTCTTTTTCAGGAAATATTTTTCATACCTTCAAAATAATTTGGTACTAAAAATAGATTTATTTTAACATGTCCAAAGCTTGTTCTGATTGATGATATCAAATCATTATAAAATGCATAAATTTTTCCTTGCAGCACCTTTATAACAGCAACAATAATACATATCTTAATGAAAATCATAAAATCATGTTAATTTAATATTCTGGTAATTTAATACCCACAAGGAAGGCTCTTTGCTTTAGTAGGCCTAGAATAATTGGTAGGTTATTTTTCTATTGTTTTTTAAATTGTTTATATATTTAGAGGGTACAAGTGCAGTTTTGTTATGTGGATATATTGTGTAGTGTCAAAGGCTGGGCTTTTAGTTACCATTACCCGAATAGTATAGGTTATTTTTCTATTTGTCTTTAAAAATCTGTACCTTTAGACACTATTCATGTGAATTTCAATAATGAGAAAATATTTTCTCATTTATTTGTATTAACCAGTGAAAATGATTGAGCCAGAATAACATCTGGCATCATCATTTTGCAGAGTCTTTTAACAGTAGGTGTTTAAGTTTTAAAGTAGAGCTTCTTAAATGACACAGGTAGGTAAAGACAATGGTGTTCAAGTTTTAGTTATTTTTCCTTCTAAATAATAGTGTAGAATTACACTGCCTGTCAACTTGCTGGTCATTCTTTTCCTTAAGTTCAAAAAAGCGAAGGAAGATGGGCGCACGGTGACTCACGCCTGTAATCCCAGCACTCTGGGAGGCCGAGATGGGTGGATCACCTGAGGTCAGGAGTTCGAGACCAGCCTGGCCAACATGGTGAAACCCCATCTCTACTAAAAATACAAAAATTAGCCAGGCATGGTGGCGGGTGCCTGTAATCCCAGCTGAGGCAGGAGAATTGCTTGAACTCCGGGAGGTGGAGGTTGTGGTGAGCCCAGATTGCCCCACTGCACTCCAGCCTGGGCCACAGAGCAGACTCTGTTTCAAAAAAAAAAAAAAAAAAAAAGCAAAGGATTATAGTAACATCTTTTTAATTTAAGCAATGTAGCTTGAATAAGAGGATAATTCAGGCCTAAAAATGAATTTTCAAAGTTGAAGTCATTCCATGCTATTAAGCATCAGAATATAAGCATGGAGGGTAAATTAACTCCAGTGTTGCCACCCATAACACCCATACATTTTAAGCTTTACAGTTGATAGGATGTTTATTCATATGATGGTGGGGAAGTATGGGCTGTCCCTTCCCAGGATCACAGCCTTGTTATTCTAGGATTGTAATTGTATCAGCATACCTTACCATCTTTTGTTTTCATCATTAAAGTGAAGTACATGACGTGTAGCTGCACTGTCTGGTAATCAATGTAACAGAGTTACCGTCAAAATTTTTTCAAAATAACCCTTTAAA